GCAAGAAAACAGCACACCCAAGTGGCAAAAAGAAAGAGGGAGAAGGTTGTGAATCATGATCGTGGCCAGAGAGCCCTTGATAAGTTTCAGGTCGGAAGATAACAAAGGGGTTCACACGCCCCATAATGATGTGTTGGTGATCAATGTGAAGGTCGTTGTTTACGAGGTCCAACATATATTTATCGACATGGGGAGTTCGTTGGACATGATATTTTATGATTATTTCAAACAAATGGACCTGGATGTTGAGCTAAAGGAAGTCAACACGTCATTGTTCGGATTTAATGGTGGAGAGGTCATGCCAATGGGAAAGGTCACTCTCCCAATCACTTTGTGGTCTAGGCCGACTAGGAAGATAAATATGGTGCGGTTTTTTGTCGTTGTAGTTGAATCTGCCTACAACATCATCTTGGGAAGGCCGAGTTTAAATGCACTTTGGGAGGTGGTATCCACATACCATATGAAAATTAATTACCCATCAGGCGAGCTAGTGGTGAAGGTCGAAGGCGATCAGCTTACCTCACGGTGGTACTATCAAGTGACCCTAAAGGTTGGGCAACAAGGAGCTAAGGGCGTTTATAGTTTAAAAAATAGGAGGAGCTCGAGGTGAGAGTAGCTCGGACAAGAAGGTAGTCAAGTCGAGGAAAAAAAAAAGACAAAGAGGAGATGCTGCCAGGAGAGGAATTAGTCGAGGGTGCTGAGGGAAGAAAAATTAAGATTGGAGTAAACATGGTGGAGCCACTGAAGGAAGAACTCATTAACATGATATGATAATTTAAGGATGATGTGTTTGCATTTAAAACTTTGGGGGAGACATAATTGCCCCTTAAAATAGTAAACAATGTAAGTTCACTAAATGCGGAAGCAGTTCAAACCAAAAGTGAACCTTTGGGAGAGAATCTCACTCTCCCTTGGAACCCTTTTCATTGAAATACGTGTTTGGCCATGTACAACTAGATTTTACAGCAAAGACTTCCTCTTTCCAATCTACATTATACACACTTATCTAACTACCTTTCTAACCATTCCTTGTGGACTTTGATTTCTACATAGATACCTCCGTGCACATGTGAAAGTGCTCGTCCCAAGCACTTAGATGATGATCAAAGTACACGTGACCCAAATTTGAGTTGACAAGTCTTATTTTTAATCACTCTCTCAAAACTAAACTAAAACAAAGATTCTTAATACTCCACACTCTCGCACACTACGCTCAATAAAAATGACAATCGCTACCAAACAACTAAGTGTGCGAGGCAACTAAATACAAATTTATACATGGCAAGTAGGTTCTTCAGTATTTCCAAATATATTCACTCTTCTTTCTTGAAAGGATGCATGCTCAGATTCTCTCCATCACGCCCGCGTATCTCATTCGCCGATACAAGGTAAGTTTCCCTTAGTCAGCGCGTGTCTCTCTCTTCTCCACACATGGTAAGTTCTTTTGATCCGCGTCCAAAGGTGTATCCTGTGTGACGAGGTACTACTGGCAAAGGTGTATCTTGTGTGACACGGGGTGCAGTTGTTTGTGGTATATGAATTTGTAAACATGGTATTTGAATTGGCATATTAACTACCTCCTCTAGGATCTCTGTACTTGTAGGCTTGTGACTCGTAACATATCCTTCTTCCAGAATCGGACATTTGTGCTAATAATGACTTTCTAATCTCTGGGACTATAAAACATACCACCTTTCGTTCTATGAGGATATCCTAAGGACATAGTAACTTCTGTACGTAGCTCTAAAGTGTCTGTCTTAAGCACGTGTGCTGGACTAACCCATATCCAAACGTGACTTAGAGTGGGCTTTATCATGTTTCAGTGTTCCATGAGAGTAGAAGGCACTGACTTAAAGCGGGGTACCATATAACTCCCAAAAGAATTTGGTAATCTTAAATAACTCATCATTGACCTAACCTTTTCCATGAGAGTCATGTTCCTCCGGTCTGCAACACCATTCTGCTGGGGTGTGCAGGCTCGACCAATGAGAGAAGAATGAATTGCCTCTTCCAGGCCATTAAAAAAAAATTGCCACATCAACTTTCTATCGACGGAGGTTAAATCTGTGTATCGGGTTGTCAAAAAACCTAGGGTGATGTACTAAATTGTCAAAGTCTATAAGTGGTGTTTAAATGACCAATCGACTAAAGGTGGTGTATTTTCCTACTAATTGGCTGATAAAAAAACTATATAAAATGAAAGATAATTTTATTATTGACTTAGAAAAATTAAATTTTGAATTTATAATTTTATTTTTATCTTATTGAGAAATTGAGACTTAGTATATATTTTCATATTTAATATTAAAATTTATATATACTATTATGTTTGTACTCAAGTAGTACCGACGATATTATGGGTTAAATCGATAATGCACGTATCATAAATCCATTTAACCACGAGTATTTAAAACATTTATGTTAGTTATTCAAGCTGCCAAGTGTTGTAGGGTTGCTTATTTGGTCGAAATCGAACCGAACCAACCGAATTTTTTGATTAACAAAAAATTCAGTTTATCCATTATAAGAACTGAAAATCGAACTGAAATTTATGGTTTGGTTTGGTTTTAACCAAACATCCAGCGGTCGGTTCAGTTCGGTTAACCACAATAAATAATTAATTTTCTCAAAAAATTCTGATTTTTAAACTGAACAAAAAATTTGATTTTTTATTCGAACAAAAAAAAATTAATTTTTTGTTACCTTGTTTAATCTTCTTAATACATTCAAAATTCTCCTCTAAGGAAGATCTCGGACCTGAACCATGACTTGAACTATGACGGAGTCAATCTTGAATGCAAATTAATGTTTGAGCCATTTTAAGAGTCATTGAAGCCTGAAAATCATCAATCATTGAAGCGAACTAATGCTTTTATAAATTATTTTCGATTTGGTTCGGTTAACCAATCACTATTATCCAAATTGAACCAAAAATTAAAATTTTAAGAAAATGTAAACCGAAATCAAACTAAATATTTAGATTCGGTTTCGATTTTGGTTCCAACTGAATTTTCAGTTTCGGTTGATTCGGCTAGGTTAACCGAATTTTATGCACCGGGATGCTTGGATACAAAATTTTTCTAGAAAATTCTAATCATTTTTAACCAATCATTTTTTTAACTCAAATCTAACTCAACTTCAGTATTAATATAATTAAATAATACTACTCAATCATTGTTACAAATTACATCTACTTTAATTCACTACTAACTCATAATTTCAACTAATTATCACTTCACATCATTTCGCTTTTACTTTTACATCAAATCAAATTTAATTATTTTATTTTAAATTTTATTTTAATATAAATTCAAAATTCCGGTAACAATTAACTATACTAATTTTATTAAAATTAACCCACCCAACCAAAAAATCCAAACAAATTTAAAATATTTAAGAGTCCTCTCTAATATGAGAAAAAAAGCTTGTTTGGCAATCAGCTGTTAGATTTAGCGGTTAGCGAATTGTATTGGCTGTTTTGACTAATGGATTGAATTAGCTGCTTTGACTGACAGATTTATATTAGCGGATTGTAAAATAATAATGTTTGGTAAAATTAACTGTTCAGAAGTAGCTGTTAGTAAATATAAATATTTGAATATTTGATATTTTTTTACAATTATGACAATTATTAAAAAAATCAAATAATTTATGATTTGTTAATTTGAAAAAGTTGATTTAATAAAAAATAAATAAATATTTTCTTACAACAAGTAATTAACTTTATATTTTATTTATTTATTTATTTAAATTCTAGACAATATATATAAAAAAAATATGCATGAATTATAAGTCCACGCTCATATTTTAAAAAATCGAATGCATGTTAATGAGCACTTCAATGATAATTATTACACTAAAAATTACAAAAGTAAATAAAGGAAATAATGAACCATAATAAACATTTTATATATCTCTCATGTACAGGTAAGCCAGGATTCCATCCCCTATGCAACATAATTGAATTAAAAATAAAAAGGGCTTGTTTGGCAATCAGCTATTAGATTTAGCGGTTAGCGAAGGCTGTTTTGACTAGCAGATTGAATTAGCTGCTTTGACTAGCGGATTATATTAGCGGATTGTAAAATAATAATGTTTGGTAAAATTAACTGTTCAGAAGTAGCTATTAGTAAATATAAATATTTGAATATTTGATCTTTTTTTACAATTATGACAAATATTAAAAAATCAAATAATTTATGATTTGTGAATTTGAAAAAGTTGATTTAATAAAAAATAAATAAATATTTTCTTACAACAAGTAATTAACTTCATATTTTATTTATTTAAATTCTAGACAATATATATATAAAAGTATGCTTGAATTATAAGTCCACGCTCATATTTTAAAAAATCGAATGCATGTTAATGAACACTTCAATGATAATTATTACACTAAAAATTACAAAAGAAATAAAAGAAATAATGAACCATAATAAACATTTTATATATCTCTCATGTACAGGTAAGCCAGAATTCCATCCATATGCAACATAATTGAATTAAAAATAAAAAGATGGGAAATCCTAATTTGGATAGAAATTTATAAACAAATAAATAAAAAACATCCCTCCTCATCCGTTAACTCAAAACGCTCCTAATGCCAGCGTTTTTCAAAATAGCTTTTCCACCCAATCAACTGAATAAAAAAGCTAGTTAACCAAACAATATTTTCAGTTGTTTTATTCCATCAAAACCGCTATTATAGCCTTTTGGTGTGAAAAGCTATTATCCAAACGAAGCCAAAGATGGGAAGTCCTAATTTAGATAGAAATTTATAAACAAATAAATAAAAAACATCCCTCCTCATCTGTTAACTCAAAACGCTCCTAATGCCAGTATTTTTTAAAATAGCTTTTTTACCCAATCAATTGAATAAAAAAGCTAATTAACCAAATAATATTTTCAGCTGTTTTATTCGGTCAAAACCGTTATTATAGCTTTTTGGTGTGAAAAGCTATTAACCAAACGAAGCTTAATGGGCATCGAGAGCCTACGGTCTTTCTATTTTATCCTGGGGTAGAATTGTAAATACGGGCCGAAAAATTCTCCTTAACCAGGGTAGCGCCAAGCGGACAGAAAACCCGTGGTTTAAATCCGTCTTGACAAGCCCTAGGGTTTTTCCGTTTCCTCCTTCAATCAGGATTTTCAGGTGCCTCTCTCTTTTTCCCATATCTGAAGCTCAGTTATTGGATTAGATAATTCTCTGCGCGAGTATGTATGATATCCGTGGATCTATTTTCCTTACGTTTGATTGATTCTGTTATTCTTTTTATCATTTCACATTGTTACAGTGGTCCGCTGTTGTTTGACTCATAATGTCCCGAGTGTATGTTGGGAATCTGGATCCACGAGTTTCCGAACGTGATCTTGAGGATGAATTTCGTGTGTTCGGAGTTATCAAAAGGTAAAGTCTGAATTTGTTGTTTTTGCAGTTTCGTTGTATATTATTACTTATTTAGATAAAAAAGTATCGGATGAATATGATTATCCGTAATGATTAAAGGTTGAGCTACAGCTGTTGAAGGCGAAACAAACGGTTTGATGTCTTTTGTAGACTATTTAAAGTTTGCCTATTTTTTCGGTCAAACAGGTTCTAATTTAGTTGAGATAAATTTGTATCTCTTTCCATTTCATAGTAGTTGCTGTGGACATTTGATTTTGAGGCTGCGTGTCTCACAAATTATCTTTGCCTGTTACACTTGGATGAATGTCTTGTATTCCTTTTCATTTAACCTGCTGTGCAGTGTGTGGGTTGCAAGGAGACCCCCTGGTTATGCTTTCATAGACTTTGATGACCGTCGGGATGCTCAGGATGCCATCAGGGAACTTGATGGTGAGCTATTGTTCCTATGCAATTGTTACTGTTATAGCATCTGAACATTTCACAAGAATTATCAATTTTTTTATTTCATTTGTCAGATTTAGATTATTGTTCTGCTATTTTTTTTTCTGTAGTTAACTTGCCCGTCTTAAGTTTTATTATGGAAGTTTTGGATGTGAAGAATGCTTAGCTCTATTCTTTTCCATTATCGTCTTGACATCTCACCAACCATGATAAGCCCATAGCATAAACTTCCCTTTGAATTCATCATTTTGTTGTTGTCTTGACAGTGTTGGTGGAACTTATAGTTTTTATTGTATGAACAGGTAAAAATGGCTGGAGAGTCGAGCTTTCTCACAACTCCAGAGGTGGAGGAGGTGGCGGCGGCCGCGGTGGTGGTCGTGGCCGGGGTGGGTCTGATTCAAAATGCTATGAATGTGGTGAGCCTGGCCATTTTGCTCGTGAGTGTCGTAATCGTGGAGGCGTAGGGAGACGAAGGAGTCGTAGTCCCCCTAGATATCGCCGGAGCCCAAGTTATGGACGAAGGTAATGTTATTCTTTGGGAAAGTAAAAAAGGCTGGAAAGATGAAGTCCTAAAGTAATGTACATTTTGATTGCCACTTCTGCGAATTAGAGGAAAAGGAAGTTGGAAATCTGTCTGTTACCCATATTTTATCTATCAGTGAGGTTTTATGGCCCATATTGATGTCTATCTGAATCTGGTTTTCTGGTACACAGGAGTTTCAGTCCTCGTGGTCGTTCCCCTCGACGTCGCAGTTTGTCACCGAGAGGCCGCAGCTACAGCAGGTCTCCTTACCGTGGAAGAGATGAGGTGCCATATGCAAATGGGTTAAGTGTTCTTTGTTTCTTCCTTTTCCTCCTTGACTCTAGAGTGTCTTATTATGTTTTTTTGGGCTATATAGTAGTATTACGGAGATGAGTAAGCCATTGTTGATTTCTGTTGGCGCCCTCCTTAATTTAGTTGAACAAAATGTTGCTTAGCACATTGGTAGTGCCAACTGCAAACCTACTTTAGATAATTCAGTAAGGTTCTTTGATGTATATCTGAGGAACAAAGATGGTTCCTTAGGATCACTGTCAATTGTATTATTGAAGCTTTTCATGACTTTTACTGATATTGTGGCGGATTAATTTGCTGCCAATTAAAAGAAAATTCAATTGTGATTATAAGGTATGATGGGATGGCAACCTTAAGAAATATAGTTATGCTACACATGCTGAACATATTTTGCAGCCAGTTATATAATTTTCATGTAGTCATGTGTCTTCATTTCTCAGCTTTCCGAGCCTGTAAACACATGCACCTAGTGTTCAAATTTTCATGCACCTCAGGTTACGACGATACGTTGTAACAGTATTTCACTTGTCTTTTTGTGCAGAAATGGCGTTAAGGATAGGCGCAGAAGCAGGAGCTGAACTGGGATGACCTCTTGAGTACTCTTTTAATCTATGCAGATTGCAGAACTATTTTGAATTGTGTGTTTACTGTTCTTGGAATTATAACGGCATATGTAAGTGGGGCGTCGCCCTCAGAGAAGCTTCGACTTCTGGATTGGTTATGTCGTTACTACTTCAGTAGTAAGTTTGTCGCTTTTTATCTTAGGTCGTAAATCTATTTCGAAATATGAACCAATATATTGATGTGGTGTTTATGTTGGATTTATTGAATGCTAAAACTGCTATGCTTTTGTTTTGTATCGAGGTCTCGTCCTGCGACTGCTTCATTGGTTTTGTGCTTCTGCACTTGTGTTTCGACCTTCATTGCCTACTTTTGATTGCATTATCTGCGGATACGATGCTTCCCTCTCCTCAAATAGTTTGTTTGATTAGACTCGAGCACCAAGGGCTGATTCACGCACCTTGGCCAGATACTTGAAATATATGACTTGGCTCTTCATGTTGTTCTGTGGACAACCCAACTGGTTTTCCAGAACGGATTTGTTGTCATTGTTTATCATTTTGAGCACCAAACTGAGGACAAATGCTGGTTTTGAAGTTACCAAAGCTTATGCTAGTGTATGGCCCATGACACTCTTTCATGTGCTTGCATTTAGCTACTTCATTGGGCTATGAATGTTTTTGGCTCGTTTGGATGAGGGTCGGTTTTTGCCTGACCAAAATCGTGCTTGTTGTTAAGATATGGAAAGTACCTTTGCCCAGCATCTTCCATTATTTATTTGTTTATTTGGCTGTTTTGCTGCTGATATGTTGTGGCGCTCTCCAAATCGAAGTCATGTTTCTTTAACCAATTAGATCCAAGCCAAAAAATGCTCTTCAATGTCCGAACTGGTAAACCTGGTCATTTGTTTAAGAAAACTGGTAAACCTGATGAGGTATCATGTTCGTTCTACAGAAAAATTATATCGATATTGTACTTCCCTTGCATTTGAAGCTGAAGCTTCACAAGGGGCCCTGGACAGGTCTATAATGGGTCTTTCCTGTCATTGACTAGGGCAATATTTGCCTTTGAGGTTTTGCATTCCAGGACTCTTTTTCCCCAATTTGTAAATCTTAACCCTATAAAAAGTATAAATTTTGTTAATGAAGATGCTAGTTCACTGTGAGGGTGTTTGTCGACCAATTTGGATAACATTTATCTTGGTATTGAGCATCTTTAAAAACTTGTGCAATGTGCAGTTTGATCACACCGCTTGTCCAGCGGGATTTGTAATGATATATTTCGTTATGCATGTTAACTAGCGTGTAGCTCATGCGATGCACGAGAAACAATATTAAATAATAATTATAAATAGGATTCGAGTTTGAGTCACTCAATGGAGGAATTGAGAATTACTATTGATCCTGAAATAATATTAAATAATAATTATAAATAGGATTCGAGTTTGAGTCACTCAATGAAGGAATTGAGAATTACTATTGATCCTGTTTAAAAAGAGGGAGAAAAAAAGAATAACTATAAATTAAAAACGAGTACAAATAATATTAAATAATAATTGAAAATTAAAGATGTGGGTCAAATAATGTAAAATTATCTTGTATAAGAGAATATAAAATTGTATGTTTAAAACATTAAAAGTACCTAAATTATTATATTAATATATGTAAAAGTATCCAAAATTTTTTGTATTATTTTTGAAAGTTTGAAGTCACCTACAACTTTTCTAAACTATTTCAGTAAAAAAAACATATCTAAAAACATTTAAAATTAACATCTTGTAAAGAAAACATGTCTAAAAATACTTAAATTTAACATATATTATATATATGTATATATAGATAAAAAATGTCTAAATAATTTGTTTAAAGTATCTAAAATATTATAAGCCTAACTAAAGATAGTATCTCACTCTAAAGTTTTGAGTGGAGATTTAGATGATACAAGATTGATAATTTGTTTAAAGTATCTAAAATATTATAAGCCTAACTTAAGATATTATCTCACTCTAAAGTTTTGAGTGGAGATTTAGATGATACAAGATTGATGACGTATATTTACAAATTCAAAAAATCAACAAAATTTTTTAATATTAAATATGAAACAAAATTAAAAATTTGGGACTTTTTAAAGTATAAGACATTCGAATTTTCTAAATATTGTATGTAATCCGATTCGAATTTTAATTTAAGGTTTGAAAAAATGGTATTCAAAATCGAGAGAATCCCAAAATTTTAGGATGCATGTGAATTGATTACTTTGTATAGAAATAAAGAGCTGCCTTATTTAAATTGATATTCATTTGGTTAGAGTTTTAATGGCAACAGAAATCTTATAAAAAATTGTTTCGATTTTTAATGGCATGTGTGTATGGAATCCGATTGTTAATGGCGTGTGTATAAATAAAAAACCAAATTTTTTGGCTGTCCAAAAATCTTATCTAAAATTTCAAAAAATAAATAAATTAAATGCTATGTAAATTTTTTGCTAACTATATTTAGTAAATGTTAATCTCTATATATATAGATACGGTCCTGCTATGGAGCCAACCGTTGGCTCCGTTATGGAGCTAACTTGAATCCGTTTTTCAGTCAAGTTGGCTCCATAACGGAGCCTAACATTTCCATATATAGATATAATGTTTTTCTATTAAGAGGCTCATTCTGTGAACTTAATATCTGCATAAGTTTTAACATGTGCGAATTGTTGTTGCTTGTTCCGTTCTTCAAACACTTGAAGCTTCATCACATGGTCAACATTTAAATGTAATCTTGAAACTTCATAAAATCTGTATAAGTTTTAACATGTGTCAATTGTTTGTTTGTTTGTTTTTTTTTTTTTCAAACCGGAAGGAATCTCATTCAAATAAAACCGAATACAGTCAATGTACAACTCAAACCGATTGAGAATGGGATGACCAATAAATTGGCTTAAACCGAACCACACCAAAGCAGCTAAAAAGGCAGCATCAAGCTGAGACCTAATAGCCCAAGACCAACCACAGGCTCCACCGCAAAAATACCAAACCAAACAGCAAAACTACACAAAAGCCAAAAGAAAAACCATAGTACCTGGCATAACAGTAACAGACTACGAACGAGAAAAGAAAGAAATAAATGAACACCAACACCTAATAGAAAACATCTTCAAGAGGCTAACAGAAATTCAGTCCATTCTAACATTGCATCTCGCACAATCTCCACCTCCGGTAGCCAAATTTTCTTGAACACCCAAAGATTTCGACTTTTCCATAGCCACCATAGAAGATACATAGAAATTAACATGTGTCAATTGTTGTTGCTTGTTTTGTAACTTTTTTTCTTTATAATTTGAATTGCTCCTCAATCAAATCCAGATCAACAAGTATTATTAAAAGTGATTCCTTGGAAAAGCATAGAATAAAAGTGGAGCCTGCGAGCCAACAAAATGCATCTAATTTGACCTGTTAGAGCATCTACAATGCATTGTGTCTAGTATTGCCTATGTGGCATATAAATAAATCCAAATCATGGATGACATGGATAAAACTATATAAAATTAACAAAATACACTCCAATGCAAAGAGACTATATTTCTACTTGAGGCTAAAATAGACTTGAGGGTAGACCGAGTTTCTTTTTCTGACTACCACGTCAGCAGGACCTAGTCTACTTTGTTTGCATTGGAGAATATATTTTTTTAGACTGAGTCTATATCTTAGGTGGCATATAATTTTTTGTGATTCAACCCAAAGCACTGTGGATGCTCTTAGAAGTAAGAAACCGTCAACATGTCCTTTGTGTAAATTTTGTTTAATTTCTTTCACCACCTGAACCTTTTCTTGCTTTTGCACCTTCTGCATATTCAAATTATGAAGATCATTTTCCACCAAATCAGGACTCTCGAGACCACTGACTGTTTTTTTTTGTCATGAACCAACCTTATGAGCTACGCGCCCAATCCAAGACCATCACGTTGGATTTTGTGACCGACATTGTGTTCTCTAAAAATAGATAACGGGAAGTAAACGGAATGAATTATGTGGTGGGATGATGTTGAAGAATGTCATGATTATGGAAATATAGTAAATGTCTCACATTGGAAGCCCTGCTGCGGGTATGAACATGGTTAAAAGAAGGTGTAACAACAAATTTTGTGTGTGGAATTTATAAACACAAATAATATTTTACGAATTGATTAATTGGATCAAATAAATTTTGTGACTACAATCTCAATTTTCTTTTCTGGTTTTTTCTTACGCACGATATGAGTTGGAGCAAAATCTTTGCCTTGATCTTCTCATTAACTCGAATAATGTTAATCCGAGAGCCAATGCCTAGATTTCGGATTAAACGGTATAAATTTTCAAGAACTTGAATAACATGAGTTATTGGTCTTTGCTGCAAAGTCGATCATGGATCATCTCCGCACTGAGGAGTTCACTGTCATAATTTAGAGGCAGGTCTTGCGGTTGAACGCGAAACCAGTCTTGAGGCTGATCGTGTTTGAATCTTTATTCGAAAATCTTCAATGGTGCCTTTGAATCTCTAAAAACAGTGAATCTCGTCGAGAGAATTCTCTATAACTCTTGAACTTGAAGATGAATTGTGTTTTGACATTAAGGAGAACCCATATTTATAGGTGTTAGGAGCATTGATTTCTTCGTCGACAATCAAATTTTATTATAAGTTGTGAAATAACAAGGACGATTTTTATTTTTGTCAACAAGTCTATTTTTGTCATTAAACATTTCTTCTTCTGTCATAATAATTATAGCTAATACATATCATCAAAATAAATAAAATTATGAATTGTTTGGATGAATTCAAACGTGTGGCTTAATATGAAATGAAATATGCAACCCGAAATGTCACCATGCAAAAGTTAGCATCCATGCATACATATCCCGCACAAGGCGTTCCTCAAAACTGCTCAAGGCACTCAAAACCACCAAAAATGTGTGGGAATTAGAACTCTCCCCTCTTCACACGCACACACACATAATCTCCCTCTCATCATTTTCCCACATACAAATACACACTCCCCATTCCCCTTAATAACCACACCCCAACACGCGGNCCTCCGCCCACAACATCACCCGCATCCTCGAACAGTATCCCGACTTCGCCCAATTCAACGCCCTCCTCTCCCAGACCCACCTGGCTGAGGTCATCAACAGCCGCCGCACAATTACCGTCCTCGCCCTCACCAACGCCCACCTCGGCGAGCTCTCCGGGAAGCCCGAAGACGTAGTCAAGCGTATCCTCAGCACCCACGTCGTCCTCGACTACTTCGACGTCCTCAAGCTCAACAAGCTCAAGGGCAACCACAACATCCTCACAAACCTCTACCAGTCCACGGGCACGGCAGATGACCAGCAGGGGTTCCTCAACGTGGTCCACAACCCGAACGGGATCTTCTTCGGCTCGGCCATGAAGGGTGCCCCAGTTGATGCCAAGCTCGAGGGCTCCGTTGCTACCCAACCATATAACATATCCGTCCTCAGCGTTTCTCACGTCATTGTGGCCCCTGGTATCGATGGCAGCTTGGCCCCAGTCCAGGCACCTCCGCCCAAAGCAGCAGCTGCTGCTGCTGCGCCTGAGGCTGACCCACCGGCCGAGAGCCCCGAGGACGATTTGCCGGCGGACGAGCCCTCGGCCGATGCTGAGGCGCCTGCGGCCCCATCGGACGCGCCGGCGGCTGCAGCGCCTGGGCCCGATGCCGCGCCTGCAGACGCTGACGATGCTCAGCCTGCGCCGTCGGAGAATGATGCTGGGAGAGCGGTGGTTTCCGGTGTGTTAGTCGGCCTGGCTGTGGGGTTGGTTTCACTATGGATCTAAAGAATTTCATTTTTCTTTTTTTTTTTTTTTTTTTTTTTTTTTGGTTAAATATNCATCGCTATATATATTAAAATTCTGTTGGGGATAAAAGGATCATATGATGATAAATTGTGTGGATTTCGGGAATTCATTATTAAAAATCAAATAAAAATTGCTACTTTTTGTTTCCAATTTTGTTGTTGACTGATGAACGCCTTATTATGATGTGAAGTGCGAGAGTTTACATGTATATTTCATTAGTATTGGATCCTGTGCATTTTGCACGAATACAAATTGTTGGATCAAATCAGTTATAAAACGTGGATTTGACTGATTTTATTATGATTAAATATTTAATTCGGGTTGAAGTAAATTGTGTATAAAAATTATACGTTATGTGTAGATACTCATATTACATTTATTTTCTTAAAACTGATTTTCTGTAATTGAGAAATAAATAATTAAAATTAACCATAAATAGGCACGTAAAACGATGGTTTTGGGATTTAAAGGGTCAAAAGTCATTCCCATATTGGACTCTTAAATGAGTTAACTCTCTTTATTGCAATAAAGAGAGTTGGAGAGGTTACAAGTCGAGCCTGAACTCGAATGATTCTCCTTGCTAATCACTACAACAACAACAAAGCTATGCACTAAGTGTTGGTGTTTGCTTCGGCCGCGCGCTCATGCCCGTCCATCGGCTCAGCTCAGGCTCGGGCACGGGCACGGGCACGGGCACGGGCACGGTCCTGGGACTTGAGACTTAGGCCTTGGTACTTGGTACTGTTGGTCTATATACTGAAAACTTTGCTTCAGATATTAATAATTTACACTATTTCTATTGAATGAGAAACATGTTTGATTAAACAAGTCCTATGTTTTGTTGTTTTGCACTTAGAAAAAATGGTTCATCACGGATGGACAGAAGATCATTTTATCAGTCATTTGCGAAACAAGAATGATTAGTTCTCAACCTAGATGAAAATGAACAAACCATCAGAACAGTTATACTGTCAACCGTACAATTGATCTTGACTGATTAGTTGTACTAGTACATTTTACGTATTGAACATGATCTTAGAGAGGAGCAGTTTGTTTAATACTGATCGTCGTAAACGAACTAGGCCTCGAATAATTATTGCGTTCTCTTAACCCGTAAGATATAAATAGGCATGTGCACGCAGTAACTATTAATTTGATTTACCAAAAGCGAGATCCATTCTGCTGGGTCAATAGTCTTATCAATTCGTGCTTTGGGTACAAAAATTCTATGAAGCCATCAGATGGTTTTGTTATGGAGCCATCCACCACTTAATGTATTGACACCTGTCCAATTTGTATTTATTGAAGGACACATGTCAATACACTATTGGTGAATATGTCTGGATGGCTCCATAGAAAAACTGGTTTTGGGTAATAGTATTGCGTGTATGATGTGCTGTTAGAATATTTACATTCACCATGTGCGTTTGTTTGATGATGTCCCCCAAGTGGCTTATGAATGATTATTATGTTAAACCTCGCAGATGGATTAAGTTTCAACATTATAATAAAGATTTGAGTGGTACTAGCTTCGGTTCAAGATATCAATTAATTATTGATTGTTAGTAATCGAATTAATTGATGGACATTATATCTTAAATGTGGGGAGGTAATTCGACTAATCATTATTGCAGTCTCGAATATAATTCGGAGATGATAAGGGAGTTCAATAATAGTTAACACTAAATTTGTGCAACTAACATCAAAATTTAAAATTGAAACAAAATATAATATAGTTTTTTTTTTCTTGAAATAATATTTCTTTAACCTTTCATATCATTTTAATTATAATATATAATAAGACTAAGAAAAGTGTCAACAAATTTAACTAAAGTTTAAATATTTTCTTACAAAAAATATTTTTTTAACCTTTCATACCATTTTGATTTTTAAAAAACAAGAAACAAATTTAATTGTAGATCAAGTAATATTAAACATGAAATGTAATTGAAGTTTAATTCTTATTACTATATTTTATATGCCTTTTAAAAATTCTCAAATTATATAGGATCAAAGTTGACATAAAATATATTAATAATGCACATTTAATGTTATAATTCAGTTCTTAATTTTAGTTCGTCAATTCGGTACAATATGAGACAGTTCAGTTCGGTTCTCGGTACAGATATTTGTGAAATTTCCAGAACCGTACCAATTATTTTTTTAGTTTGGTTCGGTTCGGAGAAAGTCAAACGGTCAACGATTATTTTTCAGTTTGGAGTGATTTCTGTTCAATTTTTGGAACGGTTCAAAATTCTCCGAGTCCCATGTTCAGCCCTAATGAATATTTCGCAATTGAGTAAACAAAAAAATGATTAATGTTCATGTATAAAATTTGCTAATAGATAATGTTAATTATATGGTAAATATAAATGAAAATATTTTCCCTCCCAAAACTATGTTAATTGTAGCAACAAAGATTTTGTCCATTACACAGATATAGACAAGGAAAATTTGTAGTTTTGGTCCACTAATTTGGGGTATTTTTTTGTTTTCTCACAATAATTTATTGGGGTTCCAAATTAGTCAAGTAACTCTTCGATTTTAACCAATTTGGTTCAATTTCAATCCAAAACATTGGGATCCGACAGTTATTTGGTCTGAAATCGGTCCAATAACTCTTCAATTTTTGTCCAAATTCAGACCTCCAATAAGTTATTGGACAGTAATGAAAATACCTAAAGTTAGTGGATCAAAACTGCAATTTTTTCAGGTAAAAAATACCATTGAAGTTACTCATACATGTAATTACATTGAAAAGAAAGAGGTAGGACGTCAGAAAAAACATAAAAAACAAGAAAAAAAATGTATCTTTATTAACAGAACATATTAAAAAAAATACAGTTTTGCTATGAAGCCAACAATTAACTTCATAGTAGAGCCAACTTTCTATATACAACAATGGTTCATAACAAAACTGTAAAAAAAATGATAGAACATAAAAATTTAGAAGTCATTAATAGGATTTTATAAAGTAGATTTATTAATCCAAAAGATCATGGAAACATAAAATAATAGTTATCCGTAAACAATGAAGATGCATTTATATATCAATGTATCATGTATTACTATAATCTTTTCGCAATTAACAGAACAATTTTTGCGTAATTATTTCCATATGATTATATTAGTCGATCCATATATAGTTCATTTAGTTGAATCCTGCAAAAGAAATAATGAAATTCTAATCTCACTATATTTAATGAACTGAGAATGTATATCTATATGGTTAAAATGTAATGTCAAATCAGTAAGCATATACGTCAAAACCTAATAAACTCATATTACCATATGTATAAATGAAGCAAAGATTGCAGTAGAAAGTAAAATTATATTGATTCCATAGATAATATGGAAAATATATACAAATGATCTTCATTTCAAAATAGATTATTAAATTTATCCGTATATATATGCATGTCAAACTTAAAAGAACCATCTATCCAATTAGAATTCTCGCTCACCAATTAAGTAGTTCTCTTCAATGGCTTGTTTCATCGTGCTTTTAACAGTTATTGTTGGTGCATTTGCAGTCCATACAAATGGACAAGGCGAAAGATTTGATAAATATTACGCTCCTTTGTGGGGGTTCAATCACCTAACAATTAACCCCGCAGGAAATCATGTCAACCTTACAATGGATCAATCTTCAGGTATATTAAATTATCATAAACACGATTTTTTTTTATTAATTACCTATGAAATTATTGATTTAATTACTATATTTTGTATGTATTTTTGCATGTAGGGGCTGGATTTAGGTCCAAATTGGAGTACGGGTCAGGGTTGTTCCGTATAAAGCTTAAAATACCGGACAAAAGGACTGGAGGAGTTCTTACAAGCTTCTATGTAAGATAAATTATATAATTTGTTATGTTACATAAGTGTTAAATATGGGTTTATTTTTATGTGATATAAGAACAAAGAAGACCACACATGTAATATATTTTTAAACAAGTTCAATTTTAATATATTTGTGTTGACCGGCAGTTGACTTCAGCACCAGATGGACAAGACCCTGGGAACCACTTTGAACTTGATTTCGAATTTTTGGGCACAAATGGGACAGTGCAAACAAATGTATACGACAATGACGGTGGCCACAGAGAAGAAAGTTTTAAACTTTGGTTTGACCCTTCAAAGGGTTTTCACACTTATATGATTCTTTGGAACTCCAAACATATAGTGTAAGCTTTAATTAGACCGACACTTACTTATAATTGGAGTTAGTTTATTACAAATAAAATAAAAGAACAATAAAAATCACTTTGTTCAAATATTAATTTATTTCATTATGAACTATCCAGGTTTCTTGTGGATAATATTCCAATTCGAGTTTTTAAGAATTTGTTGGGCCGTGGAATACCTTATCCGACCAGGCCCATGCACATCGAAGCAAGTATATGGGATGCGGATTGGGCCGGTGCTGTGGACTGGTCTCAAGCCCCATTTACGGCCGAATACCAAGATTTTGCTTTTTGGGCCTGTTCAGGCGACACATCAGCATGCGCTTCAGAGCAATACTTCTGGAACAGGCGCGAATATTGGGACCTCAATAATCAGCAGAAAAGCACTATGGAGCGGTACCGAAGATCGTTTATGACTTATGATTATTGCGGCAACCCTTCAACTAGCAAGCCAGAATGTTCTCTCAACGCATAATGTCATGAAATAGAGAGCTAATTTAGTTGGTCTACGAGAAGTATACATTAATATTTATTATTGCTGATTTTTTGGCAATGATATGGAATAATTAGTATTTCTCAAGTGAGAAGTTGGAACAATTGTTTAAGTGTTTAATTTGATCAGAATTATTGAGAGCGGTTGTTTTTATCTTTTAAAATTATGTCAAATTTTTTGTTTGATGAAAAATAAAAGTATGTTACTTGATTCATTTGCTTTAATAATTAATACTCATGCTTTTAACTACATCGAGAAGAAAAACCATTTACTTATTATTTAACACGCTTCTATAACTTGTCTTATCCTGTTTTTGTTAGAGCATCTCTAATGGTCAAATGTTATTGTGGTAAATTACATTCCACATCAGCACATTTAATAAATTCACCACTTTTTCATCTCCAATGTATAATGTGATTACAAATATTGTGATGATGTGGACATAATTAATGTCTACAATGTAGAAAAGAATGTGATTCATCCACATTCTCTTCTACACTCTAATTAACTAATGAAGAAAAGAGAGGTAAATATTCTTACCAATTCTAAGCTATCTAATTATTTAATTAATTATTTCTTCTTTTTAAAATTTTTAATATTTGTTAAGTATATAATATTGTAGTTAGATTATATTGTGCATTGGAGAGACTTTATTAATATTTTTCTTACATGGTTCACAATCCATTTAATTTATTGACATTTGACAAAATTTATTCTACAACAATATTAGAGCATTGGAGATGCTCTTAAATAATAGACCACAACAAAAAACCAAGATTTTAAAAAAATTATCAAAATATAAAGGTTCAATGAAGAATTAAAAAAAAAACTAGTTTTGCACATATTTGGTAACCACATGTGATATAGGATATCATATACTAGACCAGCCTTAATGGATAAAAAAGGGATATATTGAAGAATAAGCCTACACATGGCTAGGACACGTGGCGTGACGCTATTGGACAAGCCCAACTTGGGTCATAAGGTACATTCCCCCTATAAAATGAGGCTAAGGTATCACATTCTCTCACTCTCTCTACATTCAATACTATACACTTAGGATTTGGAGTGATTCTGACTTGAGCGTCGGAGGCCCGACGCCGGGACCCCCCGGCGTTGGGTTCTTGTAGGTACGGAGGCCGACCGAGTCGAAGGAGCCCGAGTGAAATCTTATTCACTTCAACATGCATTCATCCATTAACGTATTTAGTGTTCGGGATTTATAGTGTTCTAACCAAGTCACTATATTTTTTCTAGTTAGTTATTCCTCTTACATTTATTGGTGGGATGCATGTGTGTGGCTGTAACTTTGGGCAACATTTGGTTTACTCATTATTGGAGGAAGATTAAGTCAAGTCTAACATCTCTCCTTCTCTTCTCTGCAGACGGTTCAAACAACAAGTATATATAGATAATTAATAAAAGAATGATTGAGCAACACTTTTGTGTGAGCAACACTCTTGCGTTGACTTTGACTATTTCCGATGCTGTAGTAGTGAAGTTATATGAAAATCAACTATAGGGTCCACTTTGCTGTGTGTATGTAGGAATAATAATATCTAGCCAGAAATATGTACATCCTCCCAGCTTGCATCACAGTTCATGTCAAGATCAAATTAAAATTAATGGAAAAATCAAAAGGTTCAGGTTCAGGTTTTGTCTGTCTTGACATCATGGACATATCCAATCCTTTTTAGTGTGTGCTAGCTGCTTGAGAAGTTAGATCATTTGCAGGGACACATCCTCATCATAAACACTCCACAAGCTCCACAACAAACAATGTATTCAAATAAAGTACATTATTCAATTTTAAAATATATGAAAGCTTGCAATTTTATATTTATACATAAGTATGCAAATGAAAGCTTAAAGTTGAGTAATTTGTGATAGTTTTGGTTAAAAGTGAGCAAATTTATATATATGCAGTTTACAGAAAACTCTGGTTCCTATTGGCTGCAATCCGAATCCCCATAAAACAGGTGATTGTTTTGAGTCGTATTTCTTGTTTAGTAATATTATTGTTGAGTGGCTGAAGAAGAAAGTTGCCTTTGAACGTTGATGGCTCAAAGGCATTATAAAGGTTTATGAATTCTTACCCAACGAGTGACAAATTAGAAAGATCTGATTTACTGATCTTCTAGTAACATGCAATGTGCCGTTAGGTCCATGATACACACACTTGTCTTCATCTTTTTATTGTCTTCTGATATTCAGATTTAACAGGGAAAAAAAAAAGAAACCACTTAATTTTTCCTTCAATTTTTTTTTTAACAGCATTCTTTCTTCAGTTTTGCATATACAATTCACTATCGAAGCCTTCTTTACTGAATTGAATCATAATTAACACTTTAGCAGAAGAAAACTTCCCAGCCATCCAACTCCTAAGACAACATTTTCCACAGCACATCTTGAGTTACAAAAGATTAACATAAAAGATTGTCTGATTTCAATTCACACCATTTGCTCATTGAATTTAAGATTTCCAAGCTCAGTCTCCCGTTTAATCGGCTGGGACGGCTCCACTCCTCGTCCCATAATCACATTCTCCTCAAATCTCATCCGTTCGTCCTGAAAATTCACGTCCCGCAAGAATGGGCTCGAGGGGCTCGGCCAACTTTCATGGGGCGAATAATTTCTCTGAGGCGAGTGCATGCAGGAATTATAACCACAACTGCCCCCATGACTAATTTTCCGAAAAGTATGAGAGTTCAAATCCTTATTGTCAAACTTCCTCGACAGCTCGACAATCTTGGTCCATATGGTCGATTCTGAATCCTGCCGCTTGATAATGCTCCAATTTTCGCGCAAGAATTTCACAACATAGAATACGAGAGCCAGAATCCCGACTATGCCAACGATCAAGAAAAGTCCCCAAAAGCTCGCCACTCCCAAGCTCTTGAACGGGTATAAGTCGGATTCCGGGCATGTAATCTTGTTATCTCCCAACCATTTCTTCTCGATCTCCACCATCCTCTGGCTCTCTGTCACGTTCAAAATCGCTCTCGAGACATCGGGCACTAAAGGGGAACCTATCGGAAAAACGAAACCAAAACCGTTGGCATTAAACGTAGGTCCAGCTGTGGTGTATTTCGAGCCATATTTGCCTAGAAACAGTTTTATGTAAGGGATCTCGTGAAAAGCGGCTCCCACGCCGCCATTTTTACTCCCTTTCGAAAGAAGTTCGTCGAGTTCATCCATTGAGCTGTACTCTATGAGGCGTGACACATCGAACCTGTCTCTTAGAAATGCAGAGATGAATGATCCTTTACTGTACCCCACGTTTTCCTTGCTTTTGATGAGCTCGCTAATGTCTTTTACCTTTGGCTGCAGCTTCTGAACGGTTAGCATGGATGCCAGGCTGGCAGTGTAGCTTTGCGTTATTATGAGGACGACTAGGAACCATATGATCAGCACAAGCCTCGACAAGTTGCTTACCACTCTCTCCTCTACGGGGAAAAAAAAGGAAAACAATGTTTGAAATCCAAATAATGAATTATTATGTGGTGTTTGAAATGCTTTTTCTACTTAAGGGGGAAGGTTTAGCACAGAATCAAACCTCATGTGAGAAAGTAGTTTGGGAGATGAAAAGTTGGCTTACTGTGAGCAAAGACCATGGTGGAGAAGGCGAACCAGAATATCATGCCCACTTGATACCAGAAAGGTCCCCTGAAATCTTCATTTATCCGGTGCTCGAGTATCCAAATCAAAAACCCGATGAAAACAAATGAACAGAAGGTGGTCAGCCACAGCTCCCAAGTCAATGGCTTCACGAATAACCACGTATTCTTGCGTTTATCATCCTGGATCGGAACAATCATTGAAATGCCGGATTCCGTGTACGGCAAAGTGAAGTCTATGTACTTTGACCTGTTCCCAACAATCGTAACATCTCCAGCTACAGCGTCAAAATTCTGCGGCATTCAGAAGAAGTAAAAGAGGTAAATATCAAAAAACCTTTACCATACACAATAGCAAAGAATTAAACAAAACTCACTCCAAGATACACTTGATAGGTGAATTCATTGTAATCCCCAGCCATCTTATGATCACCAGGCTTTGCAAACGGAATGTACTCATACGGCACGCCGTACGGTAACACATCCATGACCGCATCAAACACATCTATACAATACCCTTCTATAGTCGTCGTGTTATCCGAATTCCAAACCACATGCACGAACTCCGTAAAACCCTCCTTCACCGGCACTCCCACCCTCAACCTCCTCCCATTGGTGGGAACAACCCACCCCTTCGGCGCCGAAGGCGGGTCCCCCGGCCATATAATCGAGCCGAGGTCCGATCTCGAGGCCGAATACATATTCATTCCCATCCCAGTGATATTCATCAGGTCCCTAACAATCCCATTCTCCCTCGTCCAGTACCCGACCACCCGACTCCCGGGCCCCACCATATTCACAATCTCGTACGGCGGCGACTGTAGCTGCCCGTCGATCAGCCCGAAGTCCCCCGAGAGCCCCTTGAACGAAACGCCCGACATCGCCCGAACTAGGCCCGGCCCACTTCCCGAAACGCCCAAATCTTCCAAATCCGTGGACGCGTTTGCCGCCTGTGTATTAAAAGTCGGGCCCGCTGCCGACGTGATCGCTTGCTCCGCGGCCATCGCCAGCAAGACGGCCGAATCGTAGGCCCAAAGCCCGAATACGTCGAAATCGGGAACGAGCGCCTCGCGAGCGTGCTGTCTAAAACGGAACGTGAAGTCGTCGAGCTCGCTCGTCCTCGGGACGTGAGGCTTCACGCCGATCACGCCCGTCATGGACTCGATAACCGAGCGGTTCATGGAGCCGAGCTCGTTGGTGACGCCGTCGGTGACTATCCACGCGTACTCGCGGCTCGTCATTCCGAGATCCTTGGCCTTGGTGAAGAGGCGGGAGGCGAGTGGGCTGAGCATGTGGACTACGAAGACTCGCGTCTGCATCGTCATTAGTTTGTAGAGTTCGGCCGAGATCTGGTCGTCGGTGGCGTGCGGGGGGATGACGCTTCTGTACGGGACTCGGGCGTTTACTTTTTCGAAGGCGTCGGTGAGGAAGGGCATGATGCCTTCCCCGAACTCGTTGTTGACGTAGATGGGTACGACTTCGTGCCATCCGAAGGCCTCGATTATGGCGGCGAT